TCATAAATTCGGAAAAATATAAATCTAATTTATGCAATGTGACTCCACTTTCGATAAATAATAAATTGGCTATATGATAATTTAATATGTTGTAATGTTGTTTCGAATCAAAAATTTTGAGATCGTTCCATTCTTTAACCTTGTTTTCTAGACGAGATAAATCGAGAACCTTCAAAAATCTTGCATAATCAAATAATGTATTAGGAAATTCTGCATTTATTCCCCATTCTTTCAAAATAGATTTTTCGTTCTCATCAAGAGATGACAAGTATTTAGATATGAATAATGGTTTTCGATCTAATGAAAATGGATCTTGCCAAAGAATAGGAATTGACATTCTACACAAATGTCGGTTTACAAGTGCGCAAGAATATAATGAATGAGGTTCATTATTTAAATTTTTAAGAATATTTTCCATTAATTCAGGCGTATCTCCTGCAAATATTTTTGATGCCATGAGACTACTTTTGTGTTAACGAAAGTGGATTTAGAGAATAAGTTATGCGCAGTATAAACAATGACCCTATAAATACGTTTTGCTCCGTGTACACGTGACTTTAACCCAATTACGACACAGGATCAGGTGTAACATGAAAAAAACCAAACTGCCTGCTTTTTCAAAAAATCGGCCATAATAATAACTCAAAATTTTGATAATAAAATCACCTTTTGTTTCTTAACAAAACCCCTCTAACCCTAACCCTCACCCTTACCCCAACGCGTCAAGAGTTAATTTACAGCTGATTTGAAAATTAGTGGGATACGTAATAATCGATGGCAAATCTCGGTAATTATAGCAATTACCGGTAACAAAGAATACAGTTTTCGATAATAATAATACAATTATCGAAATTTGCCGACGATCATCCCAAAATTTCGGCCAATGGAATTTTGTGAAATTTTGTGTGGGACAGTGCATTCACGTGATATTAAGAAGGAAAAATAAAAATTTTCAAAATTTAAATCAAAATATCTTGGCAAATTTGACAAAAATTTTTTTTATTTGACTTCTACGAATCCATATAATTCAAATAAAAAAATTCATTGAATTTGGTCGGATGGGATGGAGATATTTTCGCTCTAAGTTAGAGAAAAATCAAACCACCTATTAAAATAGAAGCTATGCCAGTTTTTTAAAAAAATTTGAGCGAAGGTATCTCCACACCACATGATCAAACTCGATAAAAATTTTTTATTTGAATTCTATGAATCCATAAAATTCAGATAAAAAAATTATTATCGAATTTGGGTAGGTAGATGTGGAGATATCCACTTAAAATTAGAGAAAAATCAAAACGCCTAATTTTTTTTAAGATTTGAGCGAAGATATCTCCACAACCACCTAACTAAATTTGATAAAATTTTTTAATTTGAATTCTATGAATACAAAAGAATTCAAATAAAATAGGTTTAACGAATTTAATTGGTAGTTGTAGAGGACAATTTTTTGCACTTTTATTTAATTGGCGTTTTGCTTTTTCTCTAACTTTGAGTGATGATATCGCTATAACTATCTGACCAAATTCAATGAACATTTTTTTATATGAATTATATTGATTCATAGAAGTCAAATAAAAAAATTTTTGTCAAATTTGTCGAGTAGTTGCTAAGATATTTTGATTTAAAGTCTCTAATTTCCCTTCTTGATGTCACGTGACTGCTCTGTCCTTAAGCTAGATTGCATACGACAAATTGTAAATTATGCAAAATTGCGAAATTTTAAGTTATTAGCCAATTAAATTCAGAAAAGCATGACAAGTCAGGTGATTACAGTTAAATATACAAATTTTGCTTACATGCACATAAATAATAAGCCAATTATGCATTTCATATAGTAAAAATTGCAAATTATACGCAGCATAATCCTAGACACTCTACCCTAAGCAGGGCCGATGATTTTCTACATTTCATGGAATGCCGCAGAAATCACAGAGTCAGGTCCTAAACACGGAATGCGTCAAGGATAGCACGGAATTGTCGCAGAAAGTAGGGTTCATAATTTTTTTATAAGTACGCATGGTGCTAAAAAGCCAAAAATATAGCTTCCGAAATTTCAAGTGTAGAAAATAATGAGCCTAAAATACGAGCATGGTCGAGTTAAAAATTTTGCTTGATATTCGAAATCATCCGAAGAATAAACAATCAACTTGCAGAACATTCGAAGTTTCTATTACAACCAACACAGAATTCATAAATAACAACGCAGAATTTATGCAGAGTTCATAAATTTTAATGCACGGATTTTTGCAGAATTTGATTTTGTCACGGACGGAATTGCCCGCAGAAAATCATCGGCCCTGACCCTAAGCTCTGTCCGTAGAATTTCTGCGGTTACTATGTATAATAATTCATGTGACATTCCGATTTATTCCGAATTTTCGATAACAACGGGTATCAACATATGGGAACCCCCACAGCAAAAGGAGGCAGTGGGCAAAAAATTTGATTTTGTAATTTTATAAAAATTGTATCTTTAATTCTTCAAGAAATTGAGTTTAAAAAAAAAAATTTTTTTGCCCACTGCCTCTTTTTGCTATGGGGTTCCCATATGGGCCAATTTGACTCCATTCGATTTTGTCGCATGTGATATTTGCGAATACAACCAAAATAAATTTACATATCGATATTACAGTAATATACCATATCTAAATTTTACCATACTTAAATTTGGCTTATTCGCTTCGTTATACTGTATACATTTGCTTATATGTACCCACAAGTTCTAATTAAATTAAAAACGTTTATATAAAATAAAGTTTTTTTGTAAGTGCCAAAAGACAAAATAAAAGCTTGATCTAAAATTTTTATTTTCGTTTTAACGTGTTAACAATTTAAACCTTTAAATATATTGACTTGCCCTTTGCTCATTTCTGCGAAAAAAAACTTATTTAAACCTGATTTAGAATTGCTCAAAACCGTGATTGCACGATTGGTCTAAAAATAAAACTTGTAGAGAAGACTATTCTGGTTCTAATGGTGGTTAGATCATCAAGATCTCATCTGATTGATTTTTAATGTCGGACCATTCTGATTGACTAAAAAATTCTACATCTTAAATTTATTATCGTTATGTAGATAATCAACCAACGATTAGTTAGTTAAAAAATTTCAACTAACGATTTGGATCACTACTTCAGGTAAAGGTTAGTGTTAGTTTTCTAAATTACTCTCGAGTTTCAGGAAAGCACATTGTGTGTACAACAGGCTTCCTAAAAAAAATCACGAAGCTTAGTTGAAGGAAATTTTTGTGCAATATCAAACCTATAACTCCTATTTTTGAAACCTTTTCCATTTAAAATTTTAAGCTTTGAGAAAGGTTTCAAAATTAAGGTACATTATTGAAATCTGTATTATTGAAACAATGAATATATCTATTTTTTTCTTATTCTCACCAGCAATATAAAATAAGAAATGAAATTTTATAAGGTAACTATTATTACTTATATCAAAAACGTTTTATAATGATGAATAAATGAACAATCCAAAAATGATTTTTTGTTGAAAAAAAAGATTAAATAATAATTTAACTGAAATTGAATATTTTTTATGCGAATATGTTTTGGATATTTTTAATACTAATTATTCAATTCAAATTTAATATTTATTAAAGTCGATCCATCAAAGACATGATAGAGATTAATTCCGATGCTTGAGATTTTTGAAACATTTTATTTTAAAAAATAATTTTTATTTGCTTTAGAAGTTGGATTTTCTAACCCGTCTTTTGTTCTTTTATATAGATTGTCCAAAATATTTTTGAAAAAATTTCGGCGTTATGCTATAATTAGGGGCGTTTCAAAATTAATTTATTTCAAAAATAAGTGGGAGCTTAAAAAATCTTATTTATGTTTTAGGATTCTGAACAGAGAGCATAGGGTATGAAATTTATAACTTTTTTTAAAAAAAAATTAGGATTTAAAAATTGCTCAATTTGAAGTTATTAGATTATCGAATGATTTCTCATAGAAATCTTCAAAAAATTTTTTTTGGTTGCCTACAATAAATCTATTAGTGTTGTTAACCGGAACAATTTTTTTCAGTGGCATTTACTATTGGTTTTATACTTGTTTAAAATATAAAAAGTTTAAATATAATAATAAAAATTATATGATTACAAAAACTTTTTTTTTAAAGGCCATCATCACAGTAGCAATAACAAGAACTTTATTGACATATTTGGGATATACAGTGTATAGTTAATTGATTAGTTGACTAATCAACTAGTTGTTTTATATGGCATCATATAATTAATAGCTATGCAATTATATCCAAGCGACTAGTCGATTAATCGATTAGTTGGCTACTGTATAATCAATTTTTTTAATCGATTTTTAAAATAATTTTTGGTCAACTATCAATTTTACACTAACAACCCAGGTCACCCACCCGGGTGATCTGAGTAACACCCAGGTCAAATCACTATTACTGTATTATGCAGTATATAAACTAATTTTAAAAAAATTTTTTTTTAAAAAAATTTTTATTGGGGTTGTAATGATATAGCATATGGGGTCTGTAACATCTCTAGTTTTAACCACCCTCTGTTTTGAGCTAGTATTATAGTATTATTCGCAGCAATCTTATTGGTAATCACACGCATGTTAACAATTATTATATTTTTTGAATCGATGAAATATTATTTTGATTATAGAATTAATTCTTTATAAATTTAGTTTTTATTATTATTTCAAAAAAATTGAAATTAGTTACATAATTTTGGTTGCCATATGTTTGATTGAATCTATCGTATTTTAGTTCACTGATAAATATAAGATAGTATATAGAGAATATCTTGAATTATAAAGTTTAAACAAAAATACTAATAGAAATCTAGATGTACACGAAATCAATTCGTTTAAATATCTTACTATATTGTCTTAACAGATAATTATAAATTGGTATATAATGTTGGAATAAAAATGTAACCTATATTTTCTAATTAATAAAATGCTTATATATAATTAAAGTTACATGATAAATCACATGACCATAGTGGCCAATCATCTGTCATCCATATCCCCTTGATATCCTGAATCATCCTCATTTTCTTTGTTTGACATTGATGTCATTATTCTCCTGGTGACGGCAGAAAACGGTTGATCTTTTGGTAATCTCGTCATTGCTTCAACTCGAAATCCTTCACCTGAAGTTCCAACAAATGAATTCGCCCTACTACCTAGTCTAGAGCTCGATCCACTTCCCCAACTACTTGTTCTACTACGCCCTGATGCGCTACCATTATTCTTTTCAAAAAAGAAAAGCACATCGTCCACTTCAGATGTATCCCCTGAAAGACGATCCCAGTTGAATACTTTATCATCAATCCAATCAATTGGAGATTGGAATAAACTTTTGGTCGGAGTTATTGATGAACGATCAGCTGCCTCGATTATTCGATCAACATTGAAATCCGGGTAAATTTTCGGTGCTAATTCGTTAATTAAATCAGTAAGATTGTCAGACAATTGTTCTCGAAATGCACGCAAATTCTCAATAGATGGTCTTGTCCACGGAAGTAATGATAAAAATAGTGGACGGATTGATCTATTAAAAATGATATATTGCAAATTAAAATTTTTTTAAATACTGTAAATAGTTCGATAATAAGGAATAAACTTACTTGTACACATCAAGTCCACTCTCTACAAATCGGATAGTTACATAACTACCTGTTACCAATGTACAAAATGTTGCTATAGGGGCAAATACTTTCCACTTTAATATCCATTTTTTTCTAAATGACACAAGAACAACGATAAATGTATAAAAGCTATAAAGAAGAGGTGTTACAACAAGTGCAACAAGAAGTTTCCACGTAGCAAGAACGTCACGACCTTCTATTTTAACGGATGAAATGCGAACCGCTTCTGTTGTATAAATATTAAGGTGAGATGCCTATTGTGATCTTATGAAATAAACACTAAATAAATTACCGAAAATAAACCAAACCTTCAGCCTTTTTTTTACTAACTCTGCGAGCAATTAATACAAGAGGAAGATTTAAAATAGATCTATAAAATTATAAATAGATAAATAAAAAAGATAATTGCAATATGAAAAGTGAAGACATAAAATATTTAAAGTACAAATTTCTTACCCTGGTAAGCCCAAAATACTCCAAGTAGTCAGCAACATTATTCTATATAGCAACAATCCAGCAGCTCTAGGACCTCCAATGGCTGATGTATTTACCTGGTGATCCTTTAGTCCATAATATTTTAATAATTGGTTATAAGTCGCTATTCTTTTACGTATATCTTGTACCCTTGGCTCATCTTTAAAATGTTCATAGCCAGCGATGAACCTCCGATTCAATTCTACAATTTGAGAAATTTGTAGCTTGCGGTGAGCTGGCCTATATAGACGACGTCCAGCTTGAATAAACTAAAGGCCAATTAAACACAAAAATATTTATGTATTCTTTTTTTTTTTCTTGTTTGTTTAATATTGCTATTTTTTTTTTTGTAAAAAATGCCGATATACGTTACGACACACACCATCAATGTATCATAATCTGGCGTATTCACGGTAACAGCTCTCAATCCGTTATAAATGGTCTCCAGTAATTTTGAGCAAGCCTCCCGTTTTGATGAGCCGCCTTGTTTATATTTTTCCACTAAGTCAGGATTAATGGAAATAGGTGCACCAAACTCAACAACAGCACGAGATCGGAAGGAATGAGCATGGAAATAATTCAACCCTTTATTTAATACAGATAAGTTATTTGATCTAGAGAGAAATGTTACACTTAATATTTAAATAAGCTTTAAATTACCACAAGGCACAATTTTAAGGTTTAAATTTGGATTGGCAGCAACTGCACCAAGAGCCATTATAGTAACCCCAGCTGTAAATAATTAATGTAAGATTAATTTTATATGAAATTATGATATTAAATATGTACCAAAAAATTTACCTTTAAGTGGTAATATTTCTGATCGATCGTGGCTTCCACCTTCAGGAAAAATACCGACACAATGTCCAGCATTCAATCTTTCGGAGACAATACTGTACACGGACGTTTGGTCAACCTGAGGTATGCATTTAAAAGGTGTACCTTCTGGGTGAGTGAGCATCTCCAGAGACTTCAAGTCTTTGAATTCTCGTTTGACTATCAATTCTGTATCTGATTTTATTTGAATTATCTCTGAAGAACCTCGATCTTTGGGAAGACCAATCTGCCAGCCAACTTGGAACTGTTTAGTAAACTCTGTTCCAATACCAGTTATACGTGTTGGTTCTGTTTTACGATTAAGTAACTGAATTCGTCCTATACCAGGCACAGCCAAATCTTGAGGTCGAACAACGGGAACTGATTCAGGTTATAATAAATTTAATAAATGTCATGTTCACTTCGGCCAGATAGAAAATAATGATTGCCATGTTAAATAATAACTCACTTGCATCAAGATAACGTGCAATCGTGCCAATGCCCTTGCGCTGCATAGACTTTTTAGCAATTAAGAATGAAACACGTCGTTTGCAATGCCTCATTAGAATTAAGGGATCGACAAACTACAATAAAATTGTGAAATTCAATCTTTGTTTCGTTTGTATAAATTCTCGGAATTTTGCGCAATCGACCAACTATTTCTGTAACATTAACGGTTTGTTACAATTCCATTGTTTTATGGAGTTGGTCTATTCTTAATTAGTTGCGCTTCGGGTCCTGCTCTTTTTGCTAATAAACTTTAATTTTACCTGATTTGCGTGGGGAGCTGCAACAAATATTACGGGTCCATCTCTTGGGACCTTATGAGATCCGCGAGGCTTTATTTCTCGGAAGAATACATCCAAAACGATACTGAAAGCAGCAACGGCGACATCGTAAGTTTGAAGTGTCATTTTAAATATTATTTACTGGAAATGATAATATGAACATTAAAGAGTGATAGAAAATAATAAGCGAAAAGACGAAATGATTGATCTTTGATCACAGAAATTCTCAATGCTTATATTCTCTCGTCGAATAATATTTACATTGTTATCACCTGATAGCCTATTCCGTATAGGGCTAAGTTAGGAGAGGTTCGCACGACACCGATCATTTTTGCAAATTACCAGATTTGTTTAACTTAAATAATAATTTTAGAAAATTTCCATTATTCACTCTATATGAAACTAGCCAGTTTCTTATTTTCCAGTACCCCATGATTTTATTATGCGGATCATTTTAAGGTTATGTAGAATCGAGATTACGTAATAAGAGTACCCTAGCCCAATGTTGTACAGTTTAAATGTGACCTTTTGGCTGTGGATGGTTGGGGTTCGTGCGATTAACAAAACATGACGAAAAAGTATTGTACGAATTTTACAATAGTGGCAGAATCTTTTGTCACTGTTTAGCAATCGCAGACAAATTTGATAAGTATCTGCATAAAAAATTTGTGGTCACGTGATGGTTTGCGACGCATGTATGTGACTAACAATAAAATTCATAAGGTTGATTGACATCTAGATTCGAAATCAACTTGATTCTAAATCCATTTAAATCCTAAAAATGATAATAAAATATGCAATTTTTATATAATTAGTTTTTTTTAAAACATATTTAACGATTTATTTCTATTAATACTTCCGACATGGATAACACCCTGCTCCGTGGTGGCTGAAGCGACTATTCTTATTATCGTTATAAAATTTTAAAAATTTTTGGGGTGCATAATTTTGTAATATATATATAGTTAGATTAGAATTTAGGGTTAGAATTGTTAATAAAAGAGCATAGGTGGGCTTTAGTTGGCTTTATAAAGACCCAAAATTTGGCTTTAGCCTTCAGCCCACTGGAACGTCCAGCTTCATTCATTATACCGAGAGAATTTTATATAGAATGGTTTTAAGTCTAACTTACTATATCGAGATTTTAATTAGTCTTCGCTAAATCGAGAGTTCACTATATCAAGAGTTCGCTCTAATGAGAGTGACTTGTATTAATTTTTGCTTCTACCTTTTTTTTTTTTTAAGGTTAGAAATTATATTAAAGTTAATCCAGAACTAAAGATGCTCATACAGTACAATATCTACATATAACATTACTATTAAATTTTAAAATTATCCGAAGTCTAAACTAAAGCATTTTGAATAGTTATTTTGTTCTGCAATTTAATTATTGGTTCAATTGAAAGTCGAGATCAGTAGACAAAAATTTTATCATGTTACCGTATAGAAGATCCCCCTAGATCGTAGGCCCACTATGTACTATACCGGGTCTACAATATAGGATAAAGTTTTGGAAAACCTTCCAATTATCAGACCCACACCTATACAAGACCCGCGGGTCTAATTATGGGTTTTAAAATTGGTGAAATGTAACAGACCCGGGTCTTGTATCCGGCCATTTACGGTACTTTTTTTCGGTAACTAATTATAATTTAGAAACTACGTATATGGGATATGGGCAT